TCAATGGTAATATTTTTCACATCTACTAATTATTAAAGAGCAAATTTTTATCCTTTGAAGAATTATATTTTTAATTAAAAAAATTTAATAACCACATGATAGAAGAAGCACTTCATTATAGCTTTAACATATTCAGTAACATACTCCAGAGCAAAGATACATCTCTTTCAAAAGAGGCTGTAAATTTTTACTTTCACAGTTGAATTAAGACAATTATACAATATTGAACTCAGTATAAACCCTGTAAGATATAAAATTGAATGAATTTTTACCCTTTAAAGAAGATTTCCATTTCAAGATATGCTGTTTCCTACATTTTTTAAATATTACTTTTAATTTTTTTTAGAAGCATATCATTACAGCTTTAACATGCCCAATAACAGTTTCCAGAGCAAAGATACAGCTCCTTCAAAACTGGCTATAAAATTTCTAGGTTCACTGTTGAATCAATACAGTTATACAATATTGAACTCAGTATAAGCCCTGTAAGACACAAAATTGAATGTTTTTAACTCTCAAAAGAGATCGCCATTTCATTCTAAAATATACTGTTTCTTACAGAAAGACTCATTGTTTTTGCTACTAACACTGAGATGTTGGCATATACATCTCTAATCTGTATGTATCTGGTTATTACCAGTCATAATCGTTTGCACTCGGATCCTTGGTACCTGTGTATGTCTATAAACTAACATGATGGAAACTTTTACACTTCTCTTCAAATATAATACATTTTTTTTTATGCTTCCTCCTCAAATATAATACATTTAAAATTTTTTTGTGTGTGTGTATCACACAGAACATCCCAAACCATCTTATTCAACTATACACCCACTTCCCAGATGGCACCCTCCCATAGCCTCCCTCCCCCCACTACAGCCCTTATACTCTGTTATCCCTGCTACTGTCCTCTGTGTTGTCGGCAGCCCTAGCCGCTCCCCACTACTTGTCCATCTGGTGAATCTAGTCTGCCTCTCTAGAGGTCTTGTTTTATGAAGGTCAGCTGCTCTTCATCTAGCAGCAATCAGTAGTCAATATTCCTTTAGATAAGATTGGGGTCTGTTGTTTATTTTCCCAGTTCTATGCAGGGTTACTACCTGGGAGTCCCTTGGGCCACCCTGGCCAACAACTCAAAAGAAGGTATCGCCTGTCTGGCATTGTTGCTTGTTATGTAGCCTTTAGCTATACATATGGACTCTTAAAAAATTATATTGGCCCCTTTAGTCTTTGGTTATACTTTCCTTTTGGGTGTTTAAGGCCATATAGTTGGCCCAGATAAACCAATTTATTTTCACTCTTAAGGTTGTTTGAGGATCTGTTCCTCAGGGGTCACATGGGCTTGGGAGGAGCCCCCGGCTCCTTCCTTTTACCAGTTCTGCCTATGTGAAGATAAATCAAAAGTCCTGCTCCACCATGGTTGGCTTCGCTTGGAAGCATGAAGGAAATGTTTCCTCTCTGTTGACCCTCCTCTTTGTAGACTGGACACTGGTTCATGTCCATCTCGTGGGGTCTCCTCGGCCTCCTTGATCAAGAAGACAGGTGACTCACCACAGTTACAGGACATTTTGAGAGATGCTTATAGTCC